ATGTAAAGGTACAGTTCCCAATGAGAAATGTAATTGTGTTGTATACCTACAATGTACCAATAAAAGAATTTAATAAAATAAATAAATAAATAAATGCATTTTTATATTTCTCAGTAAAATGAGAATTTAAACTGTCATTAACCATTAACTCATAATATTGTTCAACAGTTTTGGAGAGATAGCTTTTTATTGGATGTTGTATAGAAAACAGTAATGATCACTTAGTATGTCTCAGATCTGTAAATCTGACTAATGTTACTGTGTCCGTTGAAGGAAATATAAATGCAAAAGTGAGATTTAATTTAGACAACCTTTTACCCTAATCTTCTTAGATTCATTATTGCTCAGAAAGAAGAAAACTCACTGTAAAATAATGCCAACCCACGTAATGCTATAATAAATTATTTTGTACATGATTGCTTATTTGTGTTATCACTCCATACTATCAAAATCCTTTTTCTAAAATGTTCTTTGACAGAGTAGAAAATGGTCTCAATCTTTACAAGTTTATAAAAATGCAATTCTCAGGAACCACCTACCAAAGTATATTCTGGTGCCACAGCAAGTTGGTGTCTTTTGTGTTTTTATAATTTTAGAAGTACTTGATAATCTATCATGTAAATATCCTGGCAAATACATTTTTTGTGTTACTTTCAGCAGGATGCCTTTTGTGTAAAAGATGCTAATTAATCACAATGTAGAAATTGTGCTTTCAGCAGCAGACTTTTAATATATGTGCTACCAAAGTGAGCGTGAGCAGCACACTTTTAAAAGGTATTCTGTTGGGTTCATTTATAGTGTTTCTGAGTTTTGGGGTGGATGCAGTTAAGGTGTGAGGAGTTAGGTTTGAAGTATACACTGGAAAATGTGGAAGGTTACAAGAAGGATAGACTCTAGGATTGGAGAAATCTAGTTGTATATTGACAGTGGATAGAAGTTGTATGTATTCTCCCTCCTATCCACATTCCACTTTGAGTATAAAATGAGCATTGTAAACCTGAGACATGGAAAATATAAATAAGGAGCAAAATAAAAGGAAGTTGAGAATCTTTTTCAAATGGGAAGGAGAACAAGAGAGGAAGGGAGGGAGGAGGGGAGAAAGGGAAAAGGGATTTAATAAGTGTTAGTGAAAAAAATGGAAATAGAACTCTTGCAAATGTGGAAGGGAAGACTTGGAGCAGGGAGGGAGGGGTGGGGGAGAGGGGACAAAAAATAATTAAGATGTATTACCTAAATGTAAAACACGCCATGATAACTGTCGTTATATACTACAAACATGTACTTTAAAACAAACAGGTGCATGGACAGGATCTTTTTTAGGATGTCATGTCCTTCTAACTCCTACCCTCACCTTGGGAAAGGCCCTTTTCTCAGGAAGGCTAAAGGAGAGTAAGGTTAAACCAAAAGGAGAGTTACTAAAAACCAGATACTTACGAGTTATATCTACTCTCAAGAGAAGAGCCAGAAGTCCTTTGCTTTGGGTGATTCAGCCAAGTGTATTAGAACAGATAGGAAAAGACATTAAGATTCAAGGGATGTTGTGGTAACTTAAAAACTTGGTATCAGATTTTTTGTGATTTGTTTCTTACGTAATTGATTAAGCTTGGTAAAAATCTAGAATGTAAAGAACTGTAGTAGGGTTGGATTTAGTTATGTGGCGTTAGTGAAAAATAGGATGAATTCTTAAATTTTTTTTAAGTTATTATAGGAAAAAACATTGCCGTATTAATACACTCTTATTTCATTGTTCATGCCACTTTCTGAAGCAGTTCTGGAAGTCTTTTTTCATGAGTGTCTTCAGTTGTGCTGTCCTGGCTGCCTTGACATCTTGAATAGTTCCAAACATTTACCTTTCGTGGTCATTTTGACTTTGGGGAAGAGCCAGAAATTGAGGCTACTAGATGTGTTAAATAAGATGGATGAGCACACTGATGTGGCAATAGCAATAGCCGTCACTTTGTTTTGATCACACCTTGCAAAGACACTGATGAAAAAGGACTTCCTGTACTGCTTCAGAAAGTGGCAGGAGTGCTGGAATAAGTATGGTATGTTCAAAGTGAGGGGGGAGGGGCTCATTGGCAATGTATTTCTTACTGTAATTTTATTTAAATATGCCATACTTTTTGACCAGCCTTTGTATAGCTAGAACAAAGGTCAGCAGAGCTTTTCAATAAGGAACCAGGTAGTAAATATTTTAGAGTTTGAAGATCTTAAACTGGTCTCTGTCACAGTAATTCAACTCATGTTGTGGCGTGAAGCAACAGTTATAGTCAGTAGATAAATTGAAGAGTGTGGTTATTTTCCAAAAAAAATTTTGTTTGCATAAATAAATAAACCTTGGGCCAGATTTGACTTTCAAGTCAGACTGTAGTTTATGAACACTTAGGTAGGGCAATGTGTATAACATTCGGAATAATAGAGATACTTATGAATTCCATTTTTACCTACCTGAAACTGGGGTGAATTTTATGAATATATTTAAGTCCAACCCTCTTAAAACTTTATGTGAGTTAAAAGAACTATTTTATTAAGTAGATTCATCTAACAAAGCATCTACCACATGACAAATATTTTCTATATGTTAAGGATTGTGGATATTTTGTTGAGTTTATTTTACATGCCAAGCAGTTTCCTGTATGATCAGAATATCAAAAGATGCAACAAAATCACTAGGATTGCACATGTTCTGTTAAACCATGGTGGAGAATCATTCAGCCTGTATTATGTTCCACACTCTTCTGGGTATGATAGATACAATAATGAACAAAATTAATTATTCTCTTGGAGTTCATA